TATATATATATATATATATATATATATACAGAACCCTGTTCTAAAGAAACAGTGCTTAAAGTGGAATCTGGAATAAATTGCAACTTGCAAAAAGTCCTGCGATCAAGACAGCATCAAGGTAGGCTGTTTGGTTTTTAATTTAGCCCACCGCGACATGTTGACTTGGGCTCACAAGTTTTTATCTTGAATAGGTTTGCTGAAGTACATTCGGCTGTTTTGCTCTAAAAGGTGGGCTTCATTGTGCTATAATGACAGTCTTTTTATAGTTATAGTTATATTCCTCTAAAAAAACGATATACTCAAAACTGTGGCCATAAGTGACCAGTGTAGATGGAAAAATGCCAGGGCCGAAAATCGCTCCGAGTCCGAGCCTGGCTACACCCTACATCTGCTGATCAGCCAATAGTAATGCAGCTGTTGCCCTGAGATGCGCCTCATTAAGAACTGATGCAGACAATGAATGCAGGCTGAACTATTTCCAGGATTTTTTTATGATCGATGGAGGAGAATCATTTTAGAGTTGCCATGATCCTAAAAATCCTTCAAAGAAAAAGTAAGTTCAAGGCCTTGGACAGTTTTTGGAAAAAGTTTCCTCTCTGGCTGCGTTTACCTATAAATATGAAAGAAAACTATGACAATTGTGTGTGAGATGATAAAAATTTTTTTGAAATGACTCATTGATTTTCCTCAGCCATGATTTTATCCACATTCTCTTATCAAACGCTAATAAAATTACTCCAATACCAATCAAAACCAGCAGAGAGCTATTTCTACCCAATGACAGAGCAGCCATCATTGGAAAATTACCTGTTTTGCTTGTTGATAGCAGAGTAGGAAATATTTTACATATTTTACATTTTAAATATATATTTAAATATTATTTCATACTAAATATAAAAAAAATTGACAGAAACAAACAGGAAGATTTTAGGTCACTTTTAAATTGGTAAAAGTTAAGGTATTCTATTTCTATGGTAGTATTAGTCATTAGCCTGGCGTAGTCCTACTCAGTTCTAGTCAGAATATGAGTCTGATGCTGCTCCATAGAGCTGTGATTATGGGGCGTGTTTTGAACGGACCAGGAAAAAAAATGCCTCTGCACTCAACTGG